GAGGAAAAAAGATTAGGGAAAAGAATAATAAATTATATATAATTAGAAACTTTAAACAATTTTGTCAATTAAATCAATCAGACTTTGGTAGATCATCAATCAAAATATTGATAAAAAAAATGTAAATTTTAAATCTACATTGGTTCTTATAGAAAGGAATTGCGTATTTTAACTAATGCTAAAATTAAGTAGTATATTTAGGATTCATGTTTTGCTTTACAATTATTAATTTGATATATATAATTATTTTTACATTTTATATATGTTGTTTGTTATATTTGATATGTAGTAATTCAAAATCTTTCTACACATGTGTAAAAAATTAGCAATGATTTTTTTAATCTCAATTTGAATCGGATGATACAAATCAAATTATAAAATTTATATTTTTATTTATTTTATTAGTGAATTTTATATAAAATTCATACACCCTAAGAATTTTCAAGAAAATGTTAGAAAATTTAAATATCTCTTTCCTTTTCTCTCTTACATTCCTATTGTTATCATTTTTTCTCTTAGTTTCGTTCTTCGTATTTTTTTTTAGCATCTCCTTTTCTCTCCAACGTTCAACTACAAATACTTACTTTCCTTTTAAATACAGACGGTACAGCGAGAGTGCAACTGCAAGGAATGCAAAACACACGACCTGTATGAAGATAGCCCCCCAACCATTGTAATAACTGAAAAAATTCGAACTCGCTCGTTTCTGAAACTTTAATTGTTAATAACTTTTTAATTAGAGGTGTGCAAACGAAAAATCGACCTGTTTGGCAATGTGCAAACGAATATCTATCGATCGGGTCTATTTAAATTGCGTATCTTTGGAATTCATCCAGAAAACGAATTTTTTATGTAGAACTGTCGCTCCCCAAGACTTTGTTTGTTAATAATTTTTTAACTAGAAGTGTGCAAACGAAAATTCGAGCTGTTTGGGAAAGTGAAAACAAAAATCTATCGAATGATACCATTTTAAGCACAACATTTTTGTTTCTATCTCATCTACCGAAGTCGCTCGCTTCTGAACTTTAATTGTTAAAACTTTTTAACCAGAGATGTGCAAATGAAAAATCGACCTGTTTGGCAATGTGCAAACGAATATCTATCAATGGAGCTATTTTTTATTTAATTTACTCATAGTTGGGGGGCTAGTGTGAAGATGGTCCCCCGAAATTTGTTTAGTTAATAACTTTTTTACTAGAAGTGTGCAAACGAAAATTTGAAATGTGCATACATGCGCAAACGATGAGCAATCGAATGAGCTATAAAAACTTTATGTTTTTCAATGTTGGGGGGCTATCTTCACACAGGTAAACACACGGTAGTTCGCGATCGGCAGCTGCTGCCATCTGGCGGCGTACGAGGAACGTCAGCCGATGGCGGGGCACACGACGAGCGGGAGCGGCGATGCGTTTCCCGCCTATGGCATCCGCAAAGAGTTAATAATAAATGTCCTCGCGCACGTTACATACCGCCGCGGTCTTTACAGGTGTTCTTATACACGGTGCGGTCTTTAGTCCACGCCGGATCATCATCAACGCCTACGACGAGCGGTGGCGCGTAGTGTGCCTCGCTCCCTCGCAACGCGCGGCCCGAGGCCCGAGCACAGTTCGCTCGCGAGCGGACAATCGCGTAGAGTTGCGGGCGGAGCGCGCGTGGTATCACCGTCGAGTCTCGTGTGTTATTTGGTGTCGCGTCGAGCGGCGGCTTTTCGAACGAAAGAGAGAAAAAAAAGAGGGAAAAGGCGCGGAGAACTGTTATCATTCTCCTCTTCCTCTTCTTCCTCTCGCCCGCGTCATCGTCATCCTTGTCGACCCCGTTTCTATCTCGTTCACCTGTCGATCGGACGCCCGTTGCGTTTTCCCCCATGCGGCCGCGAGGCAGCGGCCCGCGCGCCCGCGCTCGCGCGTGGCGTGCGTGCGTGCGTTGTGCGTGCGCGCGTGCCTGATGACGCGACAGCGACAGCAACAACAACGTCGACGAAGACGTCGCTTCCTTGGAGTACGCTGCGGATCTGTGCGGATCTCTCGACGCCGTGAAATGCCGAGCTGGCGGCACGCGCGCGACGGCATAGTCAAATGCGGACACGCGGCCACACACGGGTGAGTATTGGTTTGTTCCATTTTTCTCTCTCTCTTTCTCTCTCTCGCCTCATTTCTCTCTTTTCGTTTTTGTTTTCCCTATTACGCGTGTATTTCCACCACGATAAAGAGTTTGAGGTTAGAACCGCGGGCGCGGGAGCTGATGTGAGAGATGAAGGGAGGTCCATATAGGTGACGATTGCATGGACGATTCCGACCAGACTCCGAGACACTTGTCTTCTTATCATCGCTTGAATTAAGCTAACGATTTTTTCTCGTTTTTGCCAAATTTTAAACGTATATATCTTTTTTAATAATTATGTATTGAATTAAAAAATAATTATTACGCACCAAGATTCATATTGACTGTAAAAACGCTGTTTTTATATATATTTCTAATATAAAGTACTTTGGCACTGTATAAATATTTAAGAATACATTAACAAAATCATTTTCAGATCTGTATCTAGTCAAATTTTTAAGTATTTCGGTATTATAAATTTGGAATTCCTGAGCTCGGATATAAAAAACAGACCTTCGATCTGTGACTTAAGCGGTATTTATATCGTCACTTCGTTAACATAAGCGGCATTAATGTCAGGCCGTCGCTTGATACGTGAGAAAAAAGTCACGTAGAAATTTCGTTCCATCGAGCGAATTAATCTTCGATTAAGTAAATCGGAGTTTCGATTAAGTAGATCGAAGTCTCCCTAAATTGGCAACTGGTCCAAAGCCGTCACGGCCTTGACGCGAGTAAGGCGATTGCCTTTCCCTTCGCGAACTAACGAGCGTTTCTCAAGTGTATTTCTCAAAGTCTTTCTCGGATTTATCCTTTCCCTTCGCAGGCACGAGCCTCCGAGTTTTGATTTATTCAGATAACAATCATTATTTCTCGCGATAGGGGTATCGCGATAGGGGTGGAATGATGTTGCTTTTCTATTTCCCCATCAGCAGCGGCACGCGCCAACGAAAATAACACGCTCTGCTAAATATTTATTAGGCATTATCCTTGACATTCTCGCCGTCCTTTAAGAGTTCACGCGTCGCGAGTTGATCTCGTATTATGCATATTATTCATTTCATGCATAATCCGATATGAGAGAGCGGAGAGCATTCCTCCGCGGCAATTTCACGGAAAACGCCTTTCTTCGCTTCCCTTTCCGGCGAACAAGGGATTTCTCCAATTCGAAAGTAGTCGCTGATTTGTATGTGCACGACGTTAATGCGCATCAGCTGATTGTGTACGCTTATATAGGGTGTCCCGAGAATATCGCGCTCTGCATCATTACCAAGTGAAAGGTTTGCATTTGTCGACTCCTTCGAGAATTTTCAGACTTGAACTTTAGGGATTTCCTAAGAACTTTTAAGATTTATATTAACTTAGGAAACGAGATAGAATACGCGATGGAAAATGCAAGAAAATAGAGATTAGTCCAGTTTGATAAAATCTATTCTGTCGAATGTATTTGGATCTTTTGACTAGATTTTAATTAATTTAATCCGCGATTAAGTCTCAATGAAACTATTTGTAGCACAATTTTTGCCGCACCCTTCGTCATTCCTAATTAAAAAATAACAATAGAAATTAATACTTTTATATTGGCAAAATGTTATAATTATACAATTAATTAATCGAAATTTGTCGAAGTTATCTTTACATGGAAAGAACGAATGTTGTTAAATATCTAAAAATTTGGCCAGATACTAATCTGAAAATAATTGTGTTGGATCTTTAAAATTTTACTAGAAAATAAAAAAATGTTGCAATATAATATATCATGTTTAAACGTCCTACGTAATAATTCAACAAAATTATTCTCAGATTCATATCCGATCAAATTTTTCGATTCTCCAAAACTGTTCTCTCCGCGTGAGAGATGGAGAACGTTAGAGAAACGTCAAAGACCATTCATGAACGACTGCGATTGAAACTGGCGTCGTCGCTACGATTCCTTGCGTAACCGTCTGCGTTTAATAGTTTAGTTTCGCGATGACAATTGAATTGTCTCGCGAAAGTTCTCGGGATGATAAATTTGCCGATATAAATTTATCGGGCGTACGCGACATTGACGAGAAGGAACGACGTACCGGGAACGAGATACTCTATCGCGAGTGTCCCGCCGGGGACACAATTCCATTCGCGGAATTTCCACGCGACTTTCCAAAGAGCGCTACTAACTAACTGGCTACTTGTTGCATAATGCATCGATCTCCCTGACCTGGTCGGGCGGCACCGTTTGCGGTCGTCTTTGTGCGGCTCGTGGTGTGCGGGCACGCTTAGCCGGGCATGCTTAAATTCGATGCGATATCGCTGCTGTTTACT